GAATAGGGTCAGATAGGGCTCCGTTGTGCAGCACCCTGCACGTGAAAGCCTCATACTGAGCTTCGATGAGGTTGACGATTTTATCCGGAACTCCCTTGCGCCTTAGGGCGCCCCACAGGTTTTCGTGGTTGAGTCGGTCGAAAGCTTTTTCGTAGTCAATGAAAACCAAGTAAAGGGACTCTTGGAATTCGTTGACCTGCTCCAAGATTATGCGGAGCGAGACAATATGGTCCACACAGGATCTTCCAGCACGGAATCCCGCCTGCTGCCGTCGGAGAGTCACGTCGATCTTCTCCTGTATCCGGTTGAGGATAACTTTGCATAGAACTTTGAGAACACAACACAGTAACATAATGCCACGCCAGTTATCGCATACAGTTGGGTCCCCCTTTTTTGGGACCTTCACTAAGACGCCCTGCATCCAGTCAGCCGGAAAAGTCGCGGTGTCCCAGATATTGCAGAATAGTTGATGCAACATTTGTGCAGATAGCATGGGGTCAGCTTTGAGCATCTCTGCTGATATGCGATCGACCCCGGGAGCCTTGTTGGATTTCATGGTTCGGATAGCAGCTTCGATCTCCGGTAGGGATGGCGCCTCAGAATTGACGCGAGTGATGCGTCGCACTCTTGGCGGTTCATGCCGAGATGTTGATGGCTGGTTGACCGACGAAACTTGTAGAAGCTGTTCGAAGTGTTCAAACCAGCGTTTCAGCTGATCAGTGGGGTCGGTGAGCAACTGACCAGTCGCGTCCTTCACTGGCATCCTAGGATTCATCCTTGCTCCACTCAGGCGTCGTGAGATATCGTAGAGGAGACGGATATCGCCTGTTGCTGCGGCTTTCTCACCTTCATCGGCTAGGGAGTCCACCCACGCTCGCTTATCCCGCCTACACGAGCGCTTCACTTCCTTCTCGAGAGCCGAATACAGTTGGCGGGCCTGGTTCTTCGCTCCTCTGGTTCTCGCCCGCTCTATCGCGGCTTTTGCATTTCTCCGCTCCTCTATCTTCCTCCAGGTGTCATCCGTGATCCACTCCTTTCTCTGAGCGCGCAGCTCGCCCAGGTTGTTTTCACTCGTTTCAGTAAAGGCATCCTTGATCGCCGTCCATTGCTCTTCTACGCTGCCACCATCAGGAATATCCGCAGCTCTGGTCTCCAGTTCCTCGACGAATGACCTTTTTACTGCTGGATCTTCCAATCGGCGTGTGTTGAATCGCCGTCCGAGCCGCTCCTCCCGCCGCTGGACCCGCGCGATACGAAGGCGGATCTCTCCAACGAGGAGATGGTGGTCAGACGCGATGTCGGCACTGCGTTTATTCCGAACGTCAAGAAGGCTCCTTCTCCATTTTCGGCTGATGCAGATGTGGTCGATTTGATTTTCGGTATGTCCATCACGGGAAACCCACGTGACTTTGTGCACTGGTCGATGGGGGAAGAGCGAACCCCCGATCACCATGTCGTTATTGCCACAAAACTCTGCCAACAACTCACCGTTTTCGCTCATTTCGCCAAGACCATGGCGCCCCATGACACGCTCATAATCCGTGTTGTCGGAGCCGATCTTCGCATTGAAGTCGCCGATGTAGATCTTGATGTCACCTCTCGGAATTTTATCCACGACTGCATTCAGTTGACTGTAAAAGTTCTCTTTGTCCTGTAACTCGGCAGCATCGGTTGGCGCATAACATTGGATTATGGTTAGGTTACGAACCCGCGTTCTGAATCTGGCAACGATTATCCTCTCATTGATAGGTTCCCACTTGATGAGCGCCGCATTTGCTTGGGCGCTAAGCAGGAAACCAACTCCACGGTGGCGGGGAGCGTTTTCACCTCGAATACCAGAATAGAGTAGTACCTGTCCCGACGGCAGCTTGTGTTCTCCAAAGTTTGGCCAACGGACTTCGCTTAGTCCCAGGATTTCGAGCTTCATGCGTCGAGCCTCGCTGGCGAGTTGTGCCAGCTTCCCCTGTTGGGCTAGCGTTAGTACATTCCATGTTCCAATTCTTGTCCGTTGTTTTGCGCTAAAAGTCGTTGCCGTAATATCAGTCCGTGATCTTTCTCTATTGGTTTCTGTAACAGTTGTAAAGTTTCGGGGACAGTAGGTAGTTAGCCTAAGGTCTCCTATCCGCCGTGATGGGGCTGCCATCTTGGGTATAGCTTTCGGGGATAAGCATTTCTTGTTTCAGCCGCTGGATGCCAGGCAGACGCTGTTTGAGCCGCACCTCCATGGTGGACAGACGCTCAGTTATTGTGTAGATGGGGCTGCCATCTTAGATTTAGCTGACACAATACAGCATTTCTTATTCAGCCGCTGGATGCCAGTCAGACGCTGTTTGAGCCGCACCTCCATGGTGAACAGACGCTCAGGCCGTGTAGGCCGAACCCGCTAGTAGTATGTGAAACACAACGAAATTGAGCGAAATGACCTACTTCGAAGGCGAACATAGATCTGGTGCTAACGGACACCAAGAAGTCGGATGTGACTAAGGAAGCTGCTGCCGCTGTCGTCACCACCACCCCACCCCCATAAACACCACCAAGGATATTAGTGATGCTGCTGCTGCTCCTACTGTATCTGCCGATGGATCTCCCCCAGCAGCACTCAAGGACAAGAGAAGAAGAAGAAGGTCTTTGTCGCTGGTGAGGCCAGCAAGGAAAATGCTGCTAAGGCAAAATAGAGGTTGTACTGTAAGGTGTTCCGTTATTTCCACGGCAGTGTTCAGAAACGTTTGTGTTCATTGTTTTTAACACATGCATAGGTACCAATGTTTGGATTTTTTCGTGTCTCCTCACCTGCACTCGTTCGGAATATGGTTGAACCGGCAGTTTTTAAATAAAAGCATAGTTGATAAAACCTGAAATATCTATTTGTTTTAGCCAAGATATAATACTGCTATCCCCCCGTTTACGCGGTGGGTGGTACCGCCCACCCCCCACTTTCTCGGCGGTCCTTAAATCAATTGAGCCGATTTTCTGTATACAACTAGATTATGGCGGACATTAATCAGAAAAAGCGGTGAGTGAGCAGTACCACCCACCGCGTAAACGGGGGAATAGCAGTAGACTGCAAATTGGTTGAGTTTATTTGTATTTTTTTTCTCTGCGTGTACGGTAGCACATTTCTACCCGAACAATCCATAATGTCCTAAGCAAGATTGATTTGTTCTTTTCGTCTATTTTCCCTTGCATTAATAACTAAGGCTCAGTTAGTGAGCAATAAAATATCCTCTTGTCATGTTTCTCGTGTCAAATGCAAGATAATAGCTTGTTATATTGAACTGTGTGGGAAATATCAATGGAAATAAAAGAAAAGGTATTCAAATATGACGAAATGCTCAGAATCAATCTTAAAGCTCTTCGTCAAGCCAATTGTACAAGTTAGGAACTATTTTCTCAAACAGTTCCTTGTTGAGCTTAACCAATAGGATATTTTCAAGGTTTGCTTCAGCGATTTTTGTTCGCTTGTCCGAAAGAACCAGTGCAAGAGCACTGAACGCGCGTTCCACGGACACCTGGTTTGAAGGTACCGTCAACAGCAGAGTTGCAACTTCGTATAGCTCGGGATGACTGAATTTTCGTGAAACCCAATATTTCCATACATCAAATGAGTAGAGTTGATGAGGCTCGAGATCAAGTGCTTTTAGCTGTCTCAGAAACGTGTCTGATGTTTGAATTCTTCTTGAGCCCGACTCAGGAAGCATTCCTCCAAACATCTGTGTCAAAAAGGCATCCAGCTCACTGTGCTGATCTTGATCTGATCCTGTTGCAGAGGTTGATGGTGACTGAGTTGGTTGGTCTACGCTGTGTGGTTTCATTCGCTTGATTCGCTCCCATGTTGCAATGATGAATTTCTGAACAATAGGATAAGAAAATACAGAACAAATGGAGGTTCAACATTCATTGAGTGACAAAAGCAATGGACTTACTCGAACTTCCTCTTTTTCTTCAGATGTGAACAGTGTAGAATTCAGGTAATTAAATCGTGGATCGATGAGAAGCGCGGACTTGAAAATCATATTGTCCTTCAACTGTTTGAGACGTTGGGTCAGTGAAGCCGTCAATGGTTCTACAAATCGGTTAGATTGAATTTTACTGACATCCATCACGGTTCTTATCCATGTCAAGTAAAAATCGTTCAGGGAAGTATGGTTGGATTGCATGTTCTTGGTTGCCAAGAAAACTGGTCTGAAAGCTGCAACATATTCCTTAATGAATGTCCACTGTTCTGTAAGATCTGAAATTTAAAATGGTAAGTGATAAATCTATGTACAACTTTTTATCAGTTTTTAACGTGTTTCACTAACCCAGCTCAGGATACTGCGATCCTAAGTCTCTGAAGAAATCCTCATGCTTTTCGAAATGCTCCAACATCGTGAAGATTCCTCCCCACCTGGTCCTAGCATAAAGGGGTGGGAGCGATTGGTTGTGCAGATCGAACACCGGTTTATAAGCTATCTTGCGGCAATTTTTTGTGACTGTAGTACATTGACGGATGTCAGCATCACATGCCTTGATAACATCGGTGACTGCTAGCTGCATTGTGTGCACAGCACACCTCACAAGCGTTATACGATTGAAAAATTCTTCTTCAATCGCTTCGGTCCAGTCTAGTCCAGGTAGCTCTTGTGATGGGTCATCTTCGTCGTCTTCAGTGGAGAGGATCATAACCTGCAAATATGACTGCAACTGCTTTACAGCTGCAATCATATTTGCACCGTTGTCGCATGTGATAGAAAATATCTGCTCAAGTGAAATGCCGTATCCTGCGAGTATTTCTTCGATTTTCGACCTTAGAAATTTGGCAGTGTGCCTCTCATTAAGTTCAATCATCCCTGAAGAAGAAATGAAATTATTTTGAGTATAAATCTATGATTTACATGTACGGCGAATCACGGGATATCCCATTCCATGCATTAAACTTTTTACGAAAAAGCTGTACTTGGAATAGTCTCTCCTTAATTATAAAGATGCAATCCGCCCTGTTTCAACTTGATAAGATGCTGTCACTTACCGACGGTCAGAATCACTACCTGCTGCTGCTCTGGGTCAAAAAATTGGATGTTGACACCCAGGATGTGTCGTCCATGTCGAGAAGCACTGTCGATTTTTAGACATATAAGCTTTCCGTTCACCAGACTTCTAATCGCGGATCGGATCTTTGTGGCAGCAACTGTTAGATGTCTGAGAACGTTAGGGCGATTCATGCACATATTTAGTGCTTCACCAATGGGTTTCAAGAGCAGTTGAAACCCTTCCCATTCGACACAGTGCAGGGGAACGTGATGGACGGTCACCAGTTTCAATATTGCTTCGACAAATGTTTGCCTGTCGATGGCAATCATTTTTTTTGATGCCTTCTTTCTCTTGGATGGTACTTCCGCCTCATCTTTAAGTAGTCCACGTGATTTGGCCAGAATGGTGTGTTCTGTACGAAGATGTCGGATAAAATTTCCGGCATCAAATTTTTCAGCTTTCTGTCGGTATTTGCAACTGTTGGCAGCATCGATGGCACACAATACAAATCCGTCTTCCGTGGAAATGCAGCCTTCCGCTAGGATCTCTCTGTATTTCTTTTTTTCGATCGATGATGCTGATACGTCCATTGCGATTGAAAAGTTTAGGATCTGTTTTAAAATCTTAACTTGAAACAGTAAAAATTGGTCGACAACAACACTAAGAACTTTTTCACGACTGTAGAATAGCAAAACAACGATAACCATAGAAAACGTAGACGTGTTCTTTTCTTACAACGTTGAACGAAGACGATGTGTGGTACTAAGAGTTGAGGAAGACGGAAAATAATCGACTTTTTCGTCCTCGCGGTTTCTTATGCAGCAACAGACGTGACGTCACATCTGCTGCTTCATAAGAACACCGTGAGAATGAAAGAGTCGACTAGTTTCCTTCCTCCTCACCTGTAGATAACCCACATTGGAACGAAGACGCTATAGAGTGAATTAGAAAGAGATAATGAAACTGCAAAATAAATGAACACGTGGACAGCTACGGTGAACGCAGTCGGTGTTTACAAAAAATGATGAATATCAAATGAATAAGATAGAGAAGTGTCGTGATGTCAAAATACATTTTTTGGCAAGCCTGTCGAACGAACATGCTTGTTACGAATGGCTTGACAAAAAGAGCATGATAATAGAGAATAAAGCGTCGGTGAACGTGACCGTTTACAAGACTGATTACAGTCCCCTCGAGCACGTTGGTAGCGAGTAGCGAAAAGCTAAAAAAAAATCATAACGTTCATATGGGGTTACATTCAACTCAGTTGAATGTAACGCCATATGAACGTTATGATTTTTTGAATGATTCAACCAATAACAACCGAACACGTCCTCGCGGTAGAATATACAATAGAACCCAAAAGGGGTTTAGGAAAATAAATTCATAGAATCGTGCTCAGTCCGGTTTGATCATATGAACGTAGTGAATTTTCAATTGTCAGAAATTAAAGGCAAGAAATAATTGTGAACAATTAAATGCCAATAAACGAAGGTCGCCGGTTGGGGCATAACCTGGATTGCCACCGGTAGCCACCACCCTTGAAAGCCGGAGAGTACCGTCAGGGAACGGTCAGGTCGTAAGCCCGTAATTTCCATACGACAGCCGTGAGAGAAGGATTGTTACATCCCCGGAAGCACACCATCGGTACGGAAAATTGCGGTCCCTGAACTCCACCATTCGATCCGTCATACATATCCAGGGACGTCACGATTGCAACCCGTACTTCCCTTCTCGAAAACGTCCTTATACACCGCAGAGAATATTAGCGGTCGAGAAACCGGTCACCGGCTGTATTGATTCGACCGTCAAGCACCGCCCGCTGCACAGCATAAAGCACGCGGGGTGGAGAGTTCATCGCATTGATGCTTTTCAACATTCTTCATCGCCTCGTCGCATCGTACTGGTACGCAACACATACACCTCCGGAGTCATCGAGTGTCACCAACCAGCCAGCTACGGTTCATCAGCAGCCGGAAAATCCCATTCATTCAGGTGATGTACTAGTTTACAACACAATAAACCCAGAGGATTCCAATCCAATTGGAATAGACTTGTTAGGCTGAGTAGTATAACCGTAGGCGAATGTATTGTGCGTCTTGACTAGACTGATCGAGAATATATGCTATAAAATTTTAAACTTTGTTGGGCTGTCGTATTACTCGTATTTAATGATTTCAGTTAGAATTCTGGACTAGTTAGTTGGATATTTGGTTGCACGTGTTCTAGGTGTTCGGAAGTCACATCGCGGCTTTGCGACAGCAAGGTTCGTTTTTGTTGAACTTCCACGCTTGTTACATTGGCGCCCAACCAACGGGTCTTGCCGGAACTTGTATATATTTTTGGAACGTTTGTTTGCAGCTTTAAGCTCAGACTCTAGTTCGGATTTAAGATTTAAGATAAGTTTATCTTTATTGCAATTTGGCGTATAAGTGGATCGATTAAGGAATGTGAGTTTTGGATCGCTTTCTATTTTCACATAGTTACATAGTTTAAGAAAATTGGTTTGAATTCATCGGGTTCATTTGATTATTTCTCTTCAAGGTTTTTTTCCGTGTTGGGTATATTCATCACTGCGACCATATTCCCCGTTTTTATATTGCTTTATCAGTTATGTCGTATCACTATTTTGTGAAGCGACCGACATAGATTGACCAAAAGCATTTTCCCAGCCAGGTATTACATTTCGAATGAAATGTACTACTTTACTGGGACATGCATTCCAAATATCAAAGGGTTCTGCCAGCCCCTTATCCACAAAAATACGCCTTTTAATGAAGATTACTGCACAAGAGCATAGCAGGTGTTCAGAGTCTTCCTTTTCCATACCACAGAATCGACACATATCCTCTTGAAGTTTTCCTATTAGCTTCAAATGATATTTACATGGACAATGTCCTGTTATCAAACCAGTATAGACACTGAGATCTTTTTTTGATAATTCAAGAATTTTACTTGTCATTGAAATGTTCGGAATTATGAACCGTTTCGACTGCCTAGCAATGGAAGTGTTGTTCCAATTGGTCTCCACTTTCATTTTTTTCCATTTTAAGAGAACAAGTAGAAACTCCACAGAATGGTTCTGGTCCTATGAATTGCTGAGATGATCCTAGCCTGACTAACGTATCGGCTTTTTCATTCCCTTCAATTCCACAATGGCCAGGAACCCAATATAAGTTTACTTGGTTTTGACAGGCCAATTTCTGAAGTGACATTACACATTCCCATACAAGTTTGGAATTGCATGTTGCTGATTTTAAAGCATTTAATTCTGCTTGACTATCAGACATAATGCAGTTATTCGAATGTTTATAATTTCTGCGCAAGCATATTACAGAGCATTCAAGAATTGCTTGAATTTCTGCTTGGAACACGGTTGGCCAGTGACCCATGCATATTGAGAAATCAATCCCTGGACCAGTTACCTAACAAACAATCGTCTATGAGCGGTTCCATATCATTAAAGCAACGAGTAATTTTCATCTTTTTTGATTTGCATGAAACCTTGCATACAAGTTTTTGGGGAAGAAAAACGCCGTTTTGCATACTTGGTTCGCCATTTTGAATCTAGCCTTACTTATGAGAAGGGCCTATGAAAAATGCGCATGATATCTTCAAAAAATTGTATCTCGGAAACGGTTTGTCCGATTGGTTTGGTGTCTTGGGCGAAATTTTAGACAATTGTTGGTGTTATATGGAAAAAATATGCACGGTAAAAAAAAAGTTTGGTATTTGTGTTTTGAATTAAAATATAAATTTTCCCTTTAAAGTGACATGTCAATAATTTTTTTATTATCCTTATGTTATAGCTGATTGAAAATGCTATCTAGTGCACAGTAGGTTGTTCTGGAGAAAAATAGGTTACGATGAAAAAAATTGTTTTTTTAAAAAATACAATTTTCAAAAAAGCTATTAAGAAAAGTCAAAAAAGTTTGTCACCCTAATTTTATGAAAGTGCATCAAATTTGCAAACAAAAAGTACTTCGGTAACATTTTTCTAAGATGCACCGTTTAGAAGATATTACTGATTTAATATTGTTTTTTTTTTTTTGATAACTTAATAAGTTTTGGCCCTTTTCGGATGTACTCCGTGTTTTTTCAGTTTCAAAAGTATTTTTTTCGGAAAGATTGGAAAATTTTGAGTTAAAAAGACACTGACAGCTTAAAGATTCGAGTGAAATTCTCTGCCTTAAAAGTATTTTGAAAAACAAGTTACAAAATCCCACTATCAGGAACAATGATTTCTTCAAGTGATTTTTGGTGCGTTGTGCTGAAAATGTGCATTCAACTCTTGCATATCGCCTAACAGCTTATTTTTCAGGGATGGTGATTGTGCGCAATAAAAAATAACATTATATGTTGGATATCATCAGTTTATTTTTATTCCTGTATTTTTATAAAATTCCAGAGCTTGAACCTTGAGATGAATCAAATACATTATCTCTTTCCTTTCTTGCATCTGATGCCATATTTCTACTGGTTTTAAATTCGTCTACAATTTTTTGTACTGACCATGATTTTGGCAACAATGATAAAATTGATAGTTTTTCTTGCCTTGTGGCTGAATTTAAAAATTTAATTTTCATATTTTCTATGACTTCATCAAACTCGTTTGCTTTTTCTGTTTTAGCGTCTAATTTAAAAAGATTTCTTCGTACACCTTCGACGATTTCAGCGCACTTTTTTTCAGGATAGTGAACATTTTTAACCTTACCGAAATCTATAGGCGAAACACGAATAGCTGCTATTCCTCGGTTGAATATTTCGACGTCTACAGGCATCGTGAAGTCTTCATTTGATTTAATTGTGCTTAGCGTTGACTCTGATGGTATCGTGACCAAACTTTCATAGCTTTGCGAATCAGGTACATCAGGTATGGTCTGAACAGTTGGCATCCTAATAAAAAAATTATTGACATGTCACTTTAAAGGGAAAATTTATATTTTAGTTCAAAACACAAATACCAAACTTTTTTTTTACCGTGCATATTTTCTCCATATAACACCAACAATTGTCTAAAACTTCGCCCAAGACACCAAACCAATCGGACAAACCGTTTCCGAGATACAATTTTTTGAAGATATCATGTGCATTTTTCATAGGCCCTTTTCATAAGTAAGGCTAGATTCAAAATGGCGAACCAAGTATGCAAAACGGCGTTTTTCTTCCCCAAAAACTTGTATGCAAGGTTTCATGCAAATCAAAAAATACAAAAAATAAAAACTGGAAAAATTTCCCACTTGTTCGTGGAACCGCTCATTTGCAAGCTGTCGGTAACCGTTTCATCCGACCACTTCTTCACTTTCAGAACTTCACCGGACAATAACTTCATTTGATCAGAACGGAAAATTTTCCGCTCAGCTCTTTTATTCTCTGTCGTCTGCTTTACCACAAGTTGTTCAAACTTTTTCTTCCAGCGCATAGCGAGTCTTGACATAATTAAGAAAATTCATACATTAATACAGCGTATATTTTGGAAAATAGGGTGATGGGTTTAGGGTTCATAGGGATCTTATTCCAGTCAAGAAAAAGACCGAGGGCGAAATTGCAATCTTTTTTTGAATATCATCGCAATGTTAACTTCCGAATATTTCCGATTAATATTTTTGAAATGTAGCTACTGGAAATATTATTTCTCGTGCTCTAGGGAAAAGGGGAAAAGAGCTCAACAAACTTTTTAAAAATTCGTCGCCAATCTCGAGATACGAACTAAAATAATGTATGATTACGCATTAGGAACTACGCAGAACATGGAGAGGTCACGGTACATTAAAGTCTCACTTACACCTCTTTCCTTTTAACCCGCTGGTATTTATTTTACGCTACTGTCACTCTGGCTACGCGCATATCTAAATCTATTCACTCGGGCAGATTATTGAAGCAGGAAATCCTCAACTTAAACTTTGGATCTCACAGCAGCAAAAACAACATCGTCTCTGTCTTTGCCCTCGATACTTTCTTAAGAAAAGCCTAAGAAAGAAAAGCTTTCCCTCATTTTTTATGTAATAAACAGCACTACTGGAAAGTATCACTTATTTTACCTATTCAACCTGGAGACTTGTCCTCTCAGCCGCAGGATTTCACCGCAGAGATGTTTTCCTTGTTCTTCCTTACTGTCCTCGACGCTTGATGAACAAGTTGTACTCAGCTGATTACCGGTGTCCTCAGATGCTTT